GCACAGCACAAACCAGGAATACCTTATCTGTGACGACTATCATGTACAAGATAAATCATTGACCATGGAGCTGTACAGTGACTAGAGCCTCACCAGTGGGCATCTCATTTAGATAACCCTGCTCTTTCTCACCCCAGCTCCTAGTGAGCAAGTTTGCTGATTCCCACAAAGGTGAGGTGAATGCAGCTGTCACCTTTCTAGGGGAAGATGGAGCACGGAGTTAGTCGAGAAGGAGTTCTGGTTGGTGGCCCACCAAACTGTCTAAGCTCGACCGATGAAGGCCAGGGCACCTCTTTTGCGACCTAACTGAGCTGGTCCCAGCTATGGAGGCTGCAACTGGAGTAGGAGAGGGAGAAGTTGGTGACGACAAAGGAACGACCTCAGATATGCGTGGAGTGGCTGACGTGGAAGTTCAGTTCCTCTTCAATGGAACCTCCTCCTCTACCTCCGTAGAACGGTTCTCTAACCGATATGGAACATCTCTTTTTTTTTTGCCTTTACTGCCGCCGCAGCCTTGGCCGCTTTATACCCCAGCATCTCCGAGTTATGAGCTGAAATACAGAATAAAGCAGTTAAAAAAAATACAAAACTCTACTATTACCTGAGCTAGGGGAAGCAGAAGTAGATTCTCTGGGGACCGACGAACTGGACGCTCGCACTTGCACTAAATCGGCCTGGAAAAAGTTCGAATCCGAAATCATAAATTTGCAAGACCTTTGCCTCTTTGGCAATGCCCTTATCACCTCATCTCGTCGCTGCGTGTCCTTGGTCAGGGTCTCCTTCTTGTAATCTGCAAACAGGGCAAAGGTCGGTACTACATCAATGCTCACCTCGTCAAAAGGTCAGATCATAAAAAACTTACACAAAGAGTGGTAGAGCCGGGAAACCACATCCTCTCTGTTCACCTGGGAAAGGTGGAATTGCCACTCCCCAGACACGTAAAAGAACTATTCCTTCCATTTTTTGATCGAGGAAGGAGTGTCCGGCACTAATGACCCCCCATCCTCGGTCTAACGCTAGTATACCATCAGCCGAAGTTCTTTCCATCCTCTTTGAATGTAAATAGTGAATTCAATTGTCGAATGCTCAGCTCAAGATTCCCCATCCTATCCCATAGAATGAGGGCAACAATTAAGGTTCACCACCCATTTGGGCATAACTGCATGGGAGCTATGCCCCAAGAAGAAAGAAACTTATGAACTACCCTTGGAAATGGTAGTCTAAGACCAGCCTGAAGTATGGCCGAATTTGAAGCAACACATCTCTCTGGGGGATTGTTAGCTCGGTCAGAAGGTTTTGGTATGATCATTACTACCGAACTCAAAATCGCATATTTAGCGTGCCAGCTAGCTAACATGTCTCCCGTCACAATCGACCTGTAAGAACTCGCTCCCCACTCCTCAAGGATACCCCCTTCAACATCCCTATCGTCCCCTTCCTCCCTCCCTGAGCCCTCACCACCAGATTCCACGACAGTACATCCTAGGTCCACTAGATTAACTACAAAGATAGGGACAGGAGTAAAAATTTATTTACAACTGGACGACAAGCTCGACGAAGAAGGAACAGATTCTTCCTGCTGGTTTCCCCAGGAGTGTACTCTAGACTTGTCTAAACTCATGTAAAGATCAAAATGAAAATACGAATAGGAAGGACGAAGAGAAAAAGCGAAGGAATACCTGGAAAACCGAAGGAAAGATGACCTCACTCAAAAGGAAGATAGGGTACACCGAGAGTATCTTGCTACCTTGGAGAGAATATTGCATAAAGCAAAAAAGGAAAAATGAAAGGCCAAAAGGGATTTAAAAGGAAGAGAAGTTAAAGGGTCTGAAATCAGACCGTCCATTTAAAAAAGGAGGAAAAGATCAAACGACAGAAAAGGCTGGGTAGTCAAAACGGTCTCTTCATGAAACTTCTCAAAGAAGCTGTCTAAAATGCCGTACAGCTCACCCCTATAAAAAACGTGACACTTGGCACAATAATAATTGAGCCCCTTGAAAAAAGGGTTCGATAAGATGGAAGGTCAGCTTCTCCTCACAGCAGAACTAACCTGGGGGTGACTGTTTATTACCGAACTCCGATCTAACAAAAATAATTCACTAAATCCACCACAAGCAAATGTGAGTTCGGTCACTGCTCCCAGATCAGACTAGCCCGTCGTTATTTCAAGAAAATATCATGATTACCTCCTGTCACATCATCCTATCAATCATAGACACTTGCCATAAGTGACGTCATCACTGCCCAAAACTGCCAATCCGAAGCCATGATTCTCAAGCCCCTTGCAGGTCATCATTACCTGGGGAAAACATTGACACATATTTTATGGTTTCTTTCGATAATAAATTCCCCTTTTTCTTAAAGTTGGCTTAAAATTAGCCTTGACGTCAACAAATAACATTACTCTATTCCACATAGTGGTGTTTAATCTTTACTCATAAATCCTTGGATCATTGATAATTGTTTCTAATAAGAAGGTATAAATTCCAAAAGGCTTAGATGAAAGAGTATGACAGTTGAAAGGCAAAGGCAAAAGTGACTCGAATGCTAAATATAGTGACCTCGAGAGGTCCCACTAGGTCTCCACTTGTTAGATTTCAATCTGTCCTAATAACTTGGTTCACCTCGTTCCCAAGTCAAACTTAATCTAATTCTACACCGACCCCCAACTTTTTCTCACCGTTTACATCCGTACAATGGATCATTAATTGCTGAGTACTAAATATTTGTAACTTTGTTAAGCCGCTGTTTGGCCTCCTTTAATTTTCTCTCTCTTACTTTCAACCACACAATTTTTAATAAAATAATATTACACTTAAATCGAAAACTTTTCAACCACACAATCTTCAAAAAAATATTATTCCCTCCATTATAAATTCAAATAATGGAGGCCAAACAGGGGCTAAATCCATCCTGAAAATCTTTATTTTTTTCCCCAACTCAAATCCAAGAAACCAGAGGCAACTTGGGATTAAAACATCTATTTCAGGGTCTTTTTATTTTCTTTGTGATTCTTCAAATTAACTCTCTCTCTCTCTCTTTATGAATGCTCGTGTGAAAGTCACAAGAAGCTCGTTTCACTTCCCATTTTCTTGTTGAGATCCAATCCTATACCCGACATATTTTCCTCTATCGCTAGGACTCTTGATCACCGGAATTCAAGAACAGTTCCCGACCCACCTGTGCTTGCTTTTCTCAAATAGTCTAGAGCTAGCTATTGCATTTTGTACATGTTTGCTATGTGGTATTGAATTGTGTTATACTGATTATTTTTCTTTTCATTCCAAACTCTAATCTATCAAAAATGCCCTTTATTTCAAAATGTCGATGATTTAAGTACAATCATATCAGATGCAATTTCCATCCGGGGTTTGACATGCGATCGTGCCCTCTCTATCAACATTGTTATGGCTGAATAATAATGTAAATTAATAAAGAAAATCTTCATGGTTGCCTACAGTTAAATAAGAAAATCACTTCTATCATAAGTGATTTGTTGTATACTTATTTTTTTTTCTTTTTCTTTTTTTTCCATATAAAGGAAGTTGGTCTGAAGAGAATTAAGACAACAATGCCGCAACAAAGCAACTCCCAGCTCCAATTCACTATTCAACAGTCCCAGCAAGAACCTGAGAGGATTCAAGGGATTGGTCTACAACAATAATGAAGCTTCTTACACCGAAAAGATCATTAATGATCGCGAATTAGCACAGATAAAAGCCGATGAAGCAGGTAATATTTTCATGACTCGTCCAAATAAATAAATAAACCTATATTGTTGTCAGAAGTAGTAGTTAACTTTGCTGCATCAACAATCCAGATTTCGTGTTCAAAAGCTAGAAGGTTATGCTATTGAAAAAGTTGAAAAAGCCTAGTGGTGCTTGTACTCGACTAATTCAAATTAGTCCCCGTTTGACCCCATTATCTGAAAATGAAAATGAGGGGAATAGTTTTTTTAGAAAAATGAGTGGTTGAAAAAGAAAGAAAATTTTTTAATTTACGTGTAATATTATTTTGTGGAAGATTGTGTGGTTGAAAATAGGAGAGAGAAAAATGGAATGTAATGTAATTGAATTTAATGAGGATCAAACGGGGCTTAAAGAATCCTTGACATCATGCTTGGGTAATCTTATTCCGTTTGGCGCCGCTCATAAAGAATGTAGTGACTTGCCTAATTAGCCATCTTATTTTGGGATGTTTTGCATCTTTGCTTTAACTTACGCAATTGGACACACTTCGTCCCTGATTTTAATCAAAATCCTGGCCATTCACAATCATCTTTCCTTCTTAGTTCCTACGTATAAAACTAACACAAATGTCAAGTTTAATACACTGATTCAAAATAAGAGTATATTTTGCATCGATAAACACTAATCAAGTCATTGAAATAAACCCCTCCGCTTTGATGATCTTAAAAAGAGGATAAGGGACTCTTCCCCATTTTCCCTTCAAGAAAAAATCAGATTAAGCAATCTAATGGTGAAATGTATGTAAAAATAAAAAGTATCATTATATTTGTGTAAATGATCTCACTAAAGTCTAGTGAAACAAATCATAACACTTATCTATGTCAATCTCTCATGGACAAACTGACGATGGATTGAGCGAAAGTTGGTACAATTATCAATTCATTTTGAAATCCATCTTATCGACTCATGAAGCCAATTTAAACATGGATCGTACGAGTTCAACCTCCAGTAAAATCTGTACGTATCAGTAAAGAATTTTATTAAAGATCGTTTGACAAAACTTCTTGAGCTTAATGAAAAATCTACTTTAAATCAATTTGCACTATAAACTTTTCTAATCAAACAAAATATCATAAAAAAATTATTCAAACGTATTTATAAATAATTTTTTAAATTTCAAAAATAACTTTTTGACTTTTAAAAAATTCTATCAGAATCCTGCATCCAATTGAAAGATACAATTGTTTTCATCCAAAATTACTAATTTAAAACACAGAAATTGATCTAAACAGGGGGGAAAAAATGAAAAACTGATGTAAACACCGAAATGTCTAAGCACAGACCTCAACAGTCCTTCAATAGAGATATTCAATTGATTCCAATACAAAACCCTACGAACAAAAGGAACTGCAATTCATACAGAATTTCACCAGAAACGATTTTTCAACCCTAATCCTAAAATGCCTTATCCTCCAAAGCCGTAGAGCGTGCGGCCTTGCCTCTTGAGCGCGTAAACGACGTCCATAGCCGTCACGGTTTTGCGGCGAGCGTGTTCAGTGTAGGTTACGGCATCACGAATGACGTTCTCGAGAAAGATCTTGAGTACGCCGCGAGTCTCCTCGTAGATGAGCCCGCTAATACGCTTTACTCCCCCACGGCGAGCCAGACGACGAATAGCCGGCTTTGTTATGCCCTGAATGTTGTCCCTCAGCACCTTCCTGTGCCTCTTGGCTCCACCCTTTCCCAAACCCTTGCTTCCTTTTCCTCTTGGCTGCGTTTGAATGTGATAAATTGAAACGAAGAATCTTTATATACAAATCGTAGGTGATAGGGATGTTTAATGACCGTTAGATTCTGATATAATCGACGGCTAAGAATTGCTATCTGTGGCATGTGAGTTGAAAAGTTATGAGCCTTGGATAAGAAGTTAGACAAAAGGTAGATAGTAGCATATAATTTTCTGCATAAATTTTTATTTTATTTTATTTATAACTGATATTTTATTTATAAATAATTTATTTCATAAATTAATTTTAATTTAAAAGTGAATTATTTCTGTATAATTACATTTCAAATTATTAGTAATATTTTATTTATAGGTAAATTTTGTACATATAAAAAGTTACTTTTAAGTAAATTTTTATATGTTTTAAATGATTTTTTATCTTATTAATATTATTTTTATTTCATAAGTAGTTTTTGTTAAAAAAAAGTGAATTTTCATTTTTGTTTACTTGTAAGTAATTTTTTGTTTTTAAGTCTTCGATTTAGTAGAAATTAAAATCAAATATTTAACAGATTTTGATAAAAATTAATGAAATATTTGATTGAAAAGTTGTGACCAATAAAATATGTGATTAAAATTAATTATTGATTTTGACTTAAATTAAATATGGGCTAAAATTCTTTTAGTTATTGTATTTTAGCCCTTATTTGATTCTCTTTATTTTAAAAATCTTTATTTCTTATACTCATTTTTTAACACATATTCGCACAAAAATATTTTGCATGTAAGCCTAAGTTTTTTTAACTACATACTCTCCAAAAAGTGACTATTTAAACATTATTTTCCCCTAATTTTTCTTTACAATAGTTATCAAATGGGTGTTTAATTTACAAAGTTAATTTCAAACAAAATATGTGAGTTGAAAATAATTATTTATAAATAATAATATAAAAAAATTTAAAACAATCATTGAATCGAGAAATACGCTCTAAATTACATTGAGTTAATTGTTTTAATGGTCACTAAACTTAAGTTCATATCTTTGATTGGTCACGAAAATTTAAAATATCGAGTTTTAGTCATTGAATTTAGGTTTATGCTTTCGATTGCTCGATGAAGTTAAAATATAGAGTTTTGGCCACTAAACTTTGAAAAAGATTTGTAAACTAGACATTTTTAAAAAATTTAACATTTATACTAGTGAGTAACGTATAATATTTTTGGAAGTTCAGTGGTCAAAACTCGACATTTTAAACTTAAATGAGCAATCGAAAACTTGGACATAAATTCAGTGATCAAAACTCGATATTTTAAACTTCATTAATCAATCAAAGATTTGAACTTAAGTTTAGTGACCATTGAACAATTAATTCAAAGTTACATTACCTTGAATAGCGCTTTAAAATTAAGGAATAACGAGCATCGATTTTCCTGGCCTTCCATTCACGAAGCCACAACATAGAAACTCCCAAACAGGCGCTAACGTGCGAACACACATTCCACGAGAGGTCTAACAAGTCTTCCATGTGTCAGCTTCAAGAGGGTACCAGGCAGCGCAATGGCTGAGGCAAGTTAAACAGGCCCTAACCTTTGAACACACATTTCACGAGAGGTCTAACAAGTCTTCCATGTTTCCGCTTCAAGGGGGCACCAGGCAGCGCAATGGCTGAGGCAGGTTGACCAAGGTGCATAAGGGGTGCTCCCAAAAGAACCTGCCGAGGAATCGTGGAACGTGATAGGGCTGCTTTAACCACTGCTTTGATAACTGCATTTCTTGATAACCACGACGCGTTATGTTTGTTGATACCTTGGGCGACTTGAAGGTTTGGGTGAGAATAGAATAACAGCTCTGGGCGACCGTATAACACTCTATGCGTTCAGATTCTGGGCGACTTGCAAACTTGGGTGATGGCGTTACAGAATTCTTGGGCCCCCTTATTTGGGCCTTCACCTTGATTTGTTCGATTGGACTTCGTTCTTTGGGCTACCTGATTTGGGGATCCTCCAATTGGGCTTTACTCCTTAGGCCGTTCGATTTGGGCTGAATTTTTATGTGTCAACAATTACCCCCCAATATGGCAGAATTAATAATAATTATTGAATTTTGCCATATTCACTTTGTGTTTCCAGCAACGTTCGAAATTCCCAAGAATTTCAATCATTGTTTTCTTTTATAACTTGAAAAAGTGCGTCGTTTTGCAAACCCTTATAAACCCCAAACACGCCATTTCACTACTATCAAACCACGCCTCATATTTTTTGCGTCTCTTTCACGATTCACTGTTCATCTTTTGCTTCCTTGTTACGTAACCCTGAAAAGCTTCGTTCCTTCTCCAATGGCTGCTTCACAATCTCAAGCTAGTGACTCCTTTAGTTTTGATGACTTTCAGAGACTTCTGAGTCGCCCATACATAACCCCAAGTTTTCTTGCACCCGCCGACGTTGGACGTAATGAGTTCTACTTGGGTCCTTTCTTCAACAATGCAGAGGCAGTTGAACAGGCGGCAGTAGGTCAGCTGTTTCCCTGCACTCGGGGTCCTCCATTCCTGAACTCTCTACCGCTGGGGCCACTTCGCGAAAGAAGTATTCGCACTTGGCCTAAATCTGATGTAGCTTTTCGTAGGTGGCATGCTCGTCTTGTGGGTCATGGTCCTACTAAGACACTTTTTGATAGCACTAGGATTTCTGATTTGTTAGAAGTCTCTATTCGCCCCCCTACTTTTGATTCAGCGCTCTTTTCGATTGCTTTGAGTTTTTGGTCCCCTGAGTATAACACCTTTATTTTTCCTCTTGGCCCCATGTCTATTACGTTAAGGGATGTTGGGGCCCTGGTGAATCTACCACCTTTGGGCGATACCATTTTTCCAGGTATCTTAGTTTCTGGTGGCGCCCCAAAGTTCGGTAAAAACTATACCGACTCTTATTCAAGCCTGCAGACCCTCCACAATCATTCGAGTGCTGAGCCTACCCATACTGAGCGAGTGGCCTTCCTTTTATTCTGGCTTTGTAAATATGTTTTGTGCGTGTCAAGTATATAGCCTTCTCTGAGTTATTTACCCATAGCGCACGAATTGGCACGTGGCAGGCCTTTGAATTTATGTTCTTTGTTTTTTGCTGCCCTTTATAGAGGCATGGCCTCTCTTCAAGCTCAATTGAAGAATGGTGCATCTCCCACTGGCAGTGGACCTCTTTGGTTTACTCAACTGTGGTTGAGATCCTATTTTCCATCTCTTGGTGCTCCATCCATTTCTCGTCCTTCTGCTAGCTGTTACGGGCTAGTTATGGAGCCCCTAACTCCTGTAAATATGTCCAGAATGGACATTTTTTCATTCTTTTATTCTTTAGATTCAATCTTTTCCTCCTTTCTTGACTCCAAACTATGTACATCCCCTTTCCACCATAGATAGCGTGAGCACCTTCCTGCTCATTTGGATTCAGTTTTTAACCAGGAGGGAGCTATTTCATGATATTCTAACTGGGACTAATGCCAAGGCTGGGGTAGAGATTCATGCTCCCTAATTTTTTGCTCGCCATCTTGGTTTTGGCCAAACTTGGCCTGTTCCTTCTTACTATTCAAAGAATTTAGTTGACCGTTTTCATACCATTACTAAAGCGGAGGCAGAGGCTATAGATGCTCGTAATCTCCTTTTAACCAGTCATTTTTCATTGGCCCCTTTCAATCCTAGCCACGCCATTCACCCTCTTTTTGAACAACTCTGGCCATCGGTAAAGCGCGGATTATTTGCGACTGAGGTCAATCGTGCCTTCCATTCATTAGACCAACCGAGTGTTTCTTCTCCTCCTCCTGTTTTGGTCACTCCTTTGTCTATTCGGAGCCCCTCTCCTTCTCTTCGCACTAAACAATCTGCTCGTCCATCTTCTTCCCTCCCTGCCAAGCCTACTACGGCCAAGAATACTCCAAGTCGCAAACGGCCAATCTCAGCATCTCCCATTCTGGAGGATGATGTCGATGATGATGATGATGCCCCTCTTATTGTCAGGAGGAAGGTAATTAACTTGGTTTACTTACAAGTATATTTTTCCACACTTGAAACTTTTCTGTGTGCTGATAATCTTTTGGATTTCTCAGAAAAGTTCAGCCTCTCCTTCAAAGGCTTTGAGATCGACAACTTCTGTTCCATCATCTTCTACTGAGGCTACTTCATCCAAACCGGTTGATGAGAGGGCTACGCTTAAAGAGACATCTTCAGTCCCAGAATCCTCATCACAACCCATGGATGAGCCACCTTCTTCCCGGGGCGTCAACCTCCCAAACATCGAAGCAGAAGGTAATTCAGTTTTTTGATGTCTTACCTTTGCTCGTGCTATTGGTTTCTGATTTGTTGCTCTTGAGCTTTGCAGATACTCCTATGAGTCCGCCCATTGTGGCAACATCTTCTCACTCGGACAAGGGGAAGTCCTCACGAATGGATGAGTCGTTGGTGGCAAGCTTGGCTGAAGGCGCGCCATCTTCTACGATTGTCGACGAGGTAGTTTTTTGCTTCACTTCTATTTCCTCCTTGTTTGTTGTAGTGAGGATTTTCAATATTGGCAGTCTTCTTTGCAGGACGTTGACAGGATTGTGCGTTCTATCCAAGACTTGTTCGCTTCCTGAAGGCAAATTCAGACGTTTCACCCTGCTCCATCCGATCGTCCTGCTGCTTCTTCAAAGGAAGACTTGAAGTTCCTAAAGGAATCGATATTTGAGTACGTATCCTTCATGGATATGGATATTGGAAGGGCTAGTGCTGCCAGGTACAAGGATGAACTTGAGCACTTAAGTGCGAAGTTGGAGCAAGCATTGACACTTCCATCGCTCAATCTTTCTGCCGATTTTAAAGCGACGTTGAAGGTTATCCACTCCGAGGTCCTTTCTATGCTGGCCAAGAATACTGAACTAAAGGTCAAGCGTACTCAATATCTTCGAGCCGTAGCTGAGAAAGAGTCTTTGCGTATGGAGATTAACAAGGCTAAGGACGAGTTGAAAGAAATCTCCTCCGAAGTCATGATTGAAGACTCTTTGATGGTTAACCTGGCTGCTCAAATGAGGGAACTTCAAGCTAAAATAGACGACTGCAGGGTGAGGATGGCTGCTAAAAAGCGCAACGCCTCCCAGGGAATTGAGCGAACTAAGTCGTTGGTCGAGCAGTACAAGAAGTTGGAAGTTGATGATGATGACGTCGCGGCTGAATTGAACATCACTTCCTCTCGACAGAACGAGGATTGGAAAAAACTTAGGGAACGAATTCGTTCCTTATGGGGTAAACTGTAATTAAGACATACGATGTCCTTTTTTTTTTTTTTTTGTAATTCGATTTTTCCCTTTGTAACTTTGTTCATCATTAATGACCATTAACTTCTTGTGCATTTATTTGACATTTATTTTTTAGTCATCAATTCTTTAAGCACTTAACTGCTTTGCACTAAGAATCTTGTCCATTCCCTTTTGATATTCCCACTACTGTTCCCAAGACTTAGGGCTATTTAATTCCGTTTATTAGACAGAAATGTGGCTGTTCATATTCTGTCTCTTCATCTTCACCCCCTATAAATGCTTCGCATTTTTCATCCTCTATCTTCATCTCTTCATTTTCTTCTTCGAAACCAATTTGCTGTCATTTCTTAGCATTCTGACGATCAACCTGATCCAAAAATGGACTGTTTAGTCCGTCCGCCTTATATTTACCTTGATGTCACCTTTGGTATGGGAGGTATAGGAAATATTTTCTGGCCAGCAGCGAAGTTCTTTCCTGCAAAATTCTTCCCATCGTCTCTTTGTTCTTCACAAGAAGTCAATGATAGAAGGCAATTTTTGGGCTGCTTGTGGGCCACTTTGCTTGCTGAGAGTGCTTCTCAGCTTGCCTGCTGAGAGTGTTTCTCAGCCTCTTTGCTCGCCATTGCAGCGATGCATTTAGGAAGGTGGTGAGGCCAGTACACCCTCTTACTCGTCAATCCCACCATTGCAGCGATGTATTTACGAAGGCGGTGTGAAGCTTACTCAGCGATCAACTGGGAGATCATCTTACTTTAGTTGTATTTTGTAACACGTCCATTATTTGTATCTTTTATATTCTTGTAATGAACGTTTGATAATAAAGAACTTTATTCGAACGTATTTCGCTCTGTCTTTATTATCTTTTGATCGTCCAGAATGTTTGGTTATATTTTTATCTGTTCACATTCCCATAAAGAAGGAACATATTTTTTCAAATATTTGCCGTTAATGAATCTTACGTGCTTGGTGCCGTCTAAATCTTCCAAGTGGTATGCTCCATTAGGCAACACACTGTTTATTTTGTATGGTCCTTCCCAATTGGACGATCACTTCCCGTACTTTGGATCCTTGGTATCCAAAGGGAGTATCGTCTTCCAAACTAGTTCACCCAGGCTGAACGTCTTGGCTATGACTTTTTTATTATAAAACTTAGCCATTCTTTGCTTTTGAACTTGCAACCTATCTAAGACGTCCAACTTCAATTCGTCTAAACTCAATAAATTTTGAACTAGTGATTCGGCATACTCATCA